TGACTGTTTGCTCGGATGAGAGGCCTTGCTTGGCTGTTGTGGGAGGGGGTAGGGGCATACCATGGGGGGGTGGCACTGACGCGGCGACGTGGGACCATAGATTCGTTTGACGGGTCGCCCCACGCTTCCTATCGCTTCCTTCCCCCACTGGTGCTTTAGTGGCCTTCCCCTCAGGTTGCAGTTGTGAGTGCTTTGTTTCAGGGTTTACTGCATTTTTGCAGTGAAACCTGAGCAACTCCCGGTGGTCAACGTTTGTGGGTCTGGACAGATTCGCGAGCAGCTGAGGTCATTCGTGTCATCACAGCAATCTTTTTGCGAGAGACCTTGGAAGCTGCAAACAATGATGCGGAGCTGATGGTCCAAGAAGGTCTCAGAAGAAAGGCCACGTACATTCACAAGCTCGAGAGCAGCCTGGCAAGAGTTGTTGTTTTTTGCCAGATCCAGCAAGCAAGGGGTTCGAATGATGTAGAAATGCTCAAAGAGTTCAGGGCAAGCCCAAGTGCCATCGAAACTGAACGCAATGTTTCGGGGGAATCGTGCATTCTGGAAATAGCAAAGGCGAGAAAAGCTAGAACTGTGAGATCATGATTGCCTAAGTCTCGTCGGCTTTTTAGTTTGTCGAATCCCAAACACTGTGCAAATTGTAAGTGAGTGTTGTTGATCCTCCAAGTGCATCTTGACGTTCGCATGCATGCCGAAGGAGCACAGACCGAAAAACCACCAGCTTGCATGCTGATCATGCCTCGTGGGAGCTTCGGGGCTACACAGCACAGGCATGTCGTGCATGATGTGGGATGCACAGCCACCCACGCGACGTTTGAGGTATATTCAATGCGATTGACGAAAGTCAGGATGGGCTGATCGACGAGGACGAAATGACTCTTGGACTTACACTGGCTGTGAAATAGCTGTGATAACGGGTTGGCATGCAGTCAAGGGCTTGAGGTTCATGGAGGCCTTTCCTGTCGCCGCTCGCTTCTGTGCCAGTGTCCAATGCCCAACGCCGTTTGAGGAACGAGCTCTTTATGGACACGCGAGTCACTACTTACTTGGAAACCCTTGACATTGACGTGATGCAGTCGAGTGCACTTTTCCATCTGCTTGCCAACGGCAAATCTGCTGCAGTCTGATTTTTGCAGCCTTGGTCTCAGAAAGAGACTTGCTAGACTGCAGTTCAGCTGAGGTGATGGACAGATCACATGTGCTAACCTTAGTCAGTAGTTGCTGTTCTGAATGCTCGTGTCGCATGCTCATTGTATTAGCAAGGGGCAGTTGTAATTGCAATGCTCTCCTCAGCTCGTACCTCCCGACTTCAACTCACAGTCGGCTACACGATCTTTCGCTCAGCACGGGTTGGAGGGGTGATGCAACAGCGATCGGATATGGGAGGCTTGTGAGTCGTGCTGGCAAAGTTCACAGAGGCTTGTTGACGTGTTTGAAATCGGAAAATCCAACATGACGTATAACATCTCCGGAGCGCCGAGCTGTTGGAAACACACGCCGCGCAAGCTGCAACACATTCCCTTCATGAGTGATACCTCAGGTGGCGATTTTATTGACGGCATCCTACGTTGCAAGGGCCCAGCGAGGGCCATCGATCAGTGACTCGACTAAACGGTGTTGGTCACTTCTGAACCATCGGTCAGCAAACGGTTTGAGATGACCTCTATGACTCTAAGGATCATGATGCAGAAAGATGTTAGACTTGTGGCAGAGCAAGTGCGGCATCTCGACTGGCGATGTAGCACATCCTCGAACGGAGCGGCGGCACAGTTCGCGTCTTCCGTCCAGCGCGCTGAGCGCGAGTGCGGCATGAACATGCTGTGCCGAACACATGTCTTGTCATATCATGTGCTTTTGCTGCGCACTGCAGGGCCCTGACGGATTCACTGGAGAACGCGGATGTGATCCCAAAGAGACAGCATAAGACCTCCTGGAATAGACACCGTCGAAGATCCTTCGTTGATGATCAGATCACGCTCCCGGCTTGCAAACAGCGATCGGTTCCAAGACGCGGAAGTGTGTTCAGGGTGTAAGGACCCTAGGGTCTTACACGCTCGTGAGATAGTTGCTTGAAATAGTTGCTTGACATAGTTGCTTGAGACAGTTGCTCGTGAATTGGCAGCTTTTTAAAATTTTTATTAACAAAATGACTCGTGCGACGAGTTTTTTGCACGTTCTCCCTCAATTTTGACTATTTTAGCTATGGGCTTGGTGCTAAAACAGTCAAAATGGCGAAGCACCCTGCCAGTGTGTCGTGCTGCAGTCTCCATGAGATCCATGAGCCAAGCGTCACTGAACACCTGATTCCACAAACTTCGATCATCGAGACATTCCAGGTGTTACGTTGCATGACTTAGGGTCGCGCTAAGGCTGCTTGGCACAGCCAAGATGACCGATGCTGCGCGCTATGCTCCGTGACGGTTTCTAGAGAGCCAACGCCATCTCCGGTCTCAGCTGTGATTTTGCTAATGCTCTGCGTAGGCCCTCGCAGGTCCTGGGTTTGAGCCAGAACAGAGCATCATGACATCATGTGCACAACATGTAGGATGCAGGACATGTAGGACCGTAGGACGTCGGACATCCCAGGCTGCTTGGTGCTGTCGTTGCAGTGTCTCTAAATTTTGGGACACTCGGTTTGAGATTCCAGAGCAAACTCTTGAGAGTCTCGTCGCATGAAATGGAAGGAATTCAGCTGCGTAGCAATCGCTGTAACTTCGTCGCACGTCCACCTAAACCCATCCGAAGGATGGTGTTTTCATGGAGGGTGAGGCCAAGGCCACGCCTAGCTCAGAATCCCAGCTTGGCTTCCTAGAGCAAGGTTGGTCCAGACGCAAAGTCTTACACACGTGTACCCAGACCCACGGCTTCCGAGATGCAAGTCCCAACCTTGTACTTTCCTGCCCTTGTCTGCATGCTCAGCGCAGCAGAGTCGCAATTGCGGCGTCGCCAGACCGCAGCTGAAGATGCCCCACAAGCCTCTGTGAGCGCTTTGCGCTTCACAGTTTTGCGCAGGCTCCATCGCACCTATGCGATGTTGCCTTGACCGCATTTCCTCCCTTGTGGGGAGTGTCAGACTTCTAAGAAGCAGCTCCGAAATCTAGCTCAGAGCTATGCTCAAGCTATGTCAAGCTTCGGCATCCTCCAAGTCTTCGCTCGCCGAGGCGCCATGAGCACCTTATGGACGCCGTGTCGCGAGAGCTGGCGGAGGGAGCCGGGAACTGGCAAGGGCCTTTGTTCTTTGGTAACGCTGTCATTCTGCCCCAGTAAATCCACAGAAGGTCCCAGCAGAACCTGGCGAACATCCTCTGGGCCTTTGCGAAAGTGGCCGTTCAGACTCTCGTCAAAATGCTGAGAATCATGAGCGTTGCCGAAGGGAAGCATCAACTCAGGCCTCGAGCTGGCGCCGTCCGTGCGGTGGTCGGTGACGCCCTGCTCACCATACAGGTGTGCCCAGTGAGCCGTCAGCCAGCTGCCTCTTTCCGTTCTTTGTTGCCTCAGTCTTGGAGCGCTCTGAACATCACCAACCTGACCTGGTCCTTTGCGAAGCTGGCAGTGCGCCACCAAGAGCTCTTCTCAGCGGTGGAGACTTGGCCGCAAATGGGAGAACGGAGCTGATGTTTTCTTTTTGGTAGGAGCCAACAACATGCAGAGATGCGGTGCAGTTTTCACAGAGTTTTTTGATGTGCAGTGGGCCTGAAGCAAAAGTTGTCTTCCAGACTCACCGGCATCTCAGGAAAGCGAATGTCAACAGAAGCTGCTCCATTTCTCCTCGCAGAACCTGGTGAATGTCGCCTGGGCATTCGCCAAGGCTTGCCATGCGCACTAGGTTCCGTTCCGTTTCTTCCGAGATGCCCAAGCTGCAAGCTCGAGGTCGTTCTGGCCCGGCAGAACTTTTTCGAGCAAATCGCCCGCCGAGCTGTTGAGCTGGCGCCAGACTTCAACCCTCAGAACTGCTCCAACGCAGCCCCCCGGCCTTAGCTGAAATGGCCCAGAAACCTCTGCCGACCATGCTGACCATGCTGACCCGCTCCCATTCAGACCAGGTCTGGGCCTTCGCTGCTGTTGGCCTGGCAAGTCCCAACCTCTTGGCCGCCACGGCGCGCCGTGCCGAGGAGCTGGCGCCAGAGCTTCAGGCGCAGGAGCGGAGTCCTGCGAAGCCTTTCGTCGCGGCTTGGGGCGGCTTGGGGCTCCATGCACTTTGCAGGACCTGGCGAACCTGGCCTGGGCATTTGCAAAGCTTCTCGGCTGCGCTTCAGGAGCACCGGTGCAGGCTCAGGTGTTTCACTTCACGGCAGGTTGGGCAGGCGTGATGCAGCTCTCGAAGAAACGGTGGCATCAGAAGTGCTGCAGAAGGCAAGTGCTTCTAGTACGACCTTTAAAGGGCTCTTCGAAAAGCCCTTGATGGGGCTCCAGGTTGAGAGCTTCTCGCCCCAGCACCTGTCGATCATCGTCTACTCCTTCGCGGGCGACTTACAGCTCTTAGATGCGAGCAGTTGAGACACTCTGGGTGCGGCCTCTTCAGGCTCAGCTGCTGGCTGCTGGCACAGGACACGTTCATGGTGTGGTATGTGTGGTGACCGTGGTGGTTGAGCACCTACAGTAACGCCTTGTTCATGCCCTATCATGCACTCCCTGATACTCCCTGCGTTTTTTCAATTGTGATGCTTTTCCGGTCTTGTGAAGACCTTGCTGTTGCAGTGCCAGCTTCAAAATACTCCCCCATCCCTGTAACTTGGCTCCAGCTGTTTCGACACTGTTCGTCGCTGTAGGACTGTAGGATGTTCGTGCCACCATCATCCCAGCATCATCAGCAGTATGCATGGCAGCGCTGTCCGGTCCTTTGACCAGCGGTGTCAAAGACACTGGATGCACGAGGTGGACACTGGACACCTGCTTAGGTGCGTAGCCGATTTTGCGGTCAGGTTCGCGCTGCTGATTTCCTTAGCATGGCAGACCCGGGCGAAGGTATGTTCACTGCTGATGCAGTTTGCAATGAAACCGATGAGACATCAGACAAACCAGGCCATCTTGCACGTACTGGATCCAGGATTTAGCCATAGTACTTGCGACCTCTGAATGGAACAGGCTCCGCCTTCTCGAACCTGGTAGCCACAACTTGGGAAATCACGTGGTTCCAACTTCTAACCTAAGGGTCTACTGCTTCAGTTGCCATGCTGTTCAACCAGGGCGATCCGTCTGATAGAAATATCTACTCTCAGTACCAGACAACAGATAGCTCACATTCTAGTAAGAGTTTTTGGGGTGGACGTGGCCAGGATGTTCACTATGTCGACAGCTGCGTGCAGGGGTGCAGGGGTGGGTGGGAGGGAGACAGGGAGGGTGGGTGGGCGGGTAGGTGGGTGAACCCTTTGCCGATCATCCGACGTATCAATCCGCATTGATGATGATGCCCTGCGACTCCTTACGCTCTGGCTCTGCTTCTTTTGAGGACTGCAAGCCACGCCCTCCACGGCGGCCACTGCATGGCCGAGACCGGAGGTCCCGTTTGCATGGCCGTTGCCTCTCGATCGCTGTGAGCGTAGGACGTGCGTCGCTCCAACCCGGCTCCTGCCCCATCTGCGGCGTCCATGGTTGAGGCGCCACACCCCTCCCGTGAAGCTGCTGTGTTTTGAGCTTCAGCTCTGTTCTGCCCAAGGCGATCCTCACCGCAGCAACAAAGCGTGTAAGGCCGGGCCTCCCGTGAATCTGCAGTCTGCCGCCGATTCGCCTGAACTGGCAGGGAGTTCGACGCCCAGGGACTCACAAATCTTGCCCAGTCGCTGGCGAAGCTGGAGATACAAAGAGAGGGTCTTCACAATGCTCTGGTGGAGGCGAAGAGCACGCAAAGTGCACGCAGTCCGAGAGCAACTGACCATGGGAGGAGGCAGCCGCAAAAGTTTCTAGCTTCACGAACCAGGAGCCGATGCCTCAGAGTCTCTCAAAAGCGAGAACTGTGAAGAAAGTCTGAAAAGTCCTCTTGGATTCGAAGTGATGACTGAGATTGAGTGAGTCTGAGGCTGGCGATGTTTGCCTGGGCTGCAGCCCGGCTCGGCCGCTTTGCGGGTCGCGCCTTACGCATGGTCTCGAAGGAGACGAAAGCACGTCTCCAGGACCTGACGGCCCAGGACGGCTGCTGTTCCTGAGCTTAGCGCGTTTCACATCTTCTCGGATGCCCAGGATCTCAGTGTACTGGTGTGGTCGTTTGCCCGCAGTGGTGGGGAGGACAGGATAAGATCTTTTGCTTACATCTTCTCCATGCCATCCGACCATCTGGAGGATACGCAAGACTCCGAGCGAAGCCGTGTGCCTGCAGGCGCTTGTAGAGTAGCACACTTGTGTGCGAAGTAACAATCGCAACGGCGCAGCTGCCTTAGCACTCTGGTCCAAGCTCGGCGCTTAAGCTTTTCAGTTA